AGGACTGGATATTGGTAGAATTGAGGATTTGAGAGGGGACGTCACATCTGGAAGCCTTTGAAAGTTCTCACTGTTGGAAGAGAAAAGCAGTCAGGAAATCTGGGGATGGGAGAAGGGTGGGGGTGGGAAGCCCAGGAAGCTATCAATTCAATGACGGACTCCTGTTTTTCCCTCCCTTCCAGCACAGCAGATCTAGGAAGTCCCAACAACAGGAGACAGTCAAGTTCCTCATAATGGTGAACAGGGGAGATGATGTTGCCTTGATTTGGACATGGGTCTGATTTTAGTCATCACTCTCACCAAAAGTTGTATTAAGGACATGAGTCGGGGGGGTTTGTGTACTTAGTCGCAGGAAATGCTCAGGTACACATACACATCCCACAAGTCACATTGGGCTGGGAAAGAGACCTATTCTGTGGAACAGAAATGCTGAAATGTCCACAGAGCTTTTGGTCTCAGAGGTGAAGAGCTAGTGCCCAGGTCAGCAAAAAGGGTGGAAGGACTGGCCCTTGCTCCCTCTAAGGACCAAGCCTTGGGGCTGGAAGCCCTGTGACCTGCTGATGATTTCATCTCATGCCAGAGCACATGGTATGAAAAGGTCAAAGGTAAAGGCCAAGTTATAAGAAAATGTTAACGAATATTAGATTGAAACAGGTAGTACTTGAGCTGGGAAGACAAAGCCATGGCAGAGGCTCCTGAGGATCCTTTCTAGGAAACCACCAGGCATAGGAATACCAGGGCCTGTAGGGATTAAATTTCTGAAATAAGTCTGCCCTGGACTCGACTGAGAGAACAAGGAGGTGACCCTTCATAATTCCTCAATTACCAGTTAGATCACTGCTAAAATGCTCATCCTTTTGTAGATGGAGCTACTACCCATGGAGTATGATGCTGCTGAAGAAAAACAACCAACCAACCAACTCACATTTCAATAATTGAAGAGGCAATGATGCCTAATTGTGACCGAATTCCTGAACTATGATATTACGCAGGAGGTCTCCTGCTTATGCTGTCATTGCAGCATAAGCCATTGAATGACATCATCATCTGGTCCCTCCCAGACTTTAACTTAAGTCTCCACTGGGGCCTGGGTAGCCTTCTATCTGATCAGGAAGGTACTGAAAGAATAATCATAATAACAACAACAGCAGCTGAAATTGTGTAGCATTGTAACATTTGCAAGGTGCTCTACATGTGTGACCTCATTGTTAGATTAAAGGTGTTAATGGTTATTGGTAGGTGTTAAACAGGGATGAGAATATCAAACCAAGAGTGAGGGCTCTCCAACCAGCATGGTGCTTTGATCAACATGCAGTGCTGTTCTGGAAAATCTTGGCCCTTTAGTGCCTCAACTATCCAAGCAGCTTCATGCAGCAGAAGCAGGGAAAGCAGGCAAGTGAGCATTAGCTAGCTTATAGTAAACAGAAATGAGGCAGTCTAGTATGACAGAGGTTAATGAGGCATATGCTCCGTGAAATAATCAGCACACAGGCCCAAATGAACTAAATACTGGAAGCACACAGTCAGGGCTCCATCTCTTTGCTCCCAGAACAGTGATCAGGTCATCTGTGTTGTTCTTTTATGGCACGTGCTCAAACCAGGGTGGGTGGGTTAAGCTTGCCAAGTCAGAAAACCTGCCTGGCTTTAGGTGGAGCAGAGAAGGCAAGTCACAGCAAGTTTTCATAATGAGATGATTCAGTATTTGAGAACTCAAGAAACCTGATACTCCCAAGTTAAAAAGTCTATTCAGTGGGCTTTCCTGCTTCCCCTTGCCAAAGGATTCTTTGGTAAATGTGGCTCATCCCACCGGTTAGTACAAAGCTTTTCCCAGATGGTAATGAAGGTGACAGATATTAGGTAGGTTTGAAGGAAGAAGGGACATGCAGGAACATACAGACCTGAGACCCAACTGAGATCAGTCAAAGAGGGAAGAGTCCTTCTACAGAATAAAGAATTGAGACCGTTACCAAGAACTCCACCAAGAAAATACTAAGGTGGTCATTGCATGGACGATAGAGTTTAGGAGAATTTCCTTCTGCAGTTAAGGAATAATTTGTCTCAGACAGAAGGATTCAATTTAGATGTCCAATCATCATAGTCAACTTCCCTCCTGCACAGGACTTCCTGCCAAGGCAAGGCTTCTTAGCCCCCAAAGCTGACCCTGTCCTATCTGATATCCTGTGATCCCCCTGGGAATTTCCCCATTCCACACTATGTTCTCTACAGGGATTGGTAAATTTTAGAAAAGGAAAATTACCACAAACTCAGAATAGCTGCTGGCAACAGAATTAACGGTGAGGTTGTGCTGGAGAGGGGCCCATTAGGGGCAACTACCATTCAGGATGCTGCCACTCAATTCAATATTCTCTTTTTTGTGCCCTTGTCTACCTAGAGGAGCTGTCCTTTGCCCCAAATGGCTAGAAGTCTTGGATGACTGGCCAAAGTAAGTAGTAGGAAAGAAAGGAAAAAAGCAAGGTAAGTCATCCTTTACACAAACCATTAATGTTACAGTGTTTAAAGTCACCAAAAAAGTTCAAGAGGATGGTCATGTATTCTGGAGACAGTGTTTTTGTACTAAAATGCTTCGAGGACCTATGATTTTAGTGGTGTGGGTCCTCCCTTACACTGATACAGATTGCAACCCCTCTATAATTTATTGATTGTCCTTTGAGAATTACTAAAAAATGCAAAACCCTTTGACCAATGGAGTGATGACCCAATTGGGATTTGGCTAGGCTGGCCCTGAGATGACAGACACAGAGAGCATCACAGAGCCTAACCAGAAGCTTTTCCAATTTTGGTAAGACCTGCCAGACCTTCCATTCCTCTGGACTAAGCCTTTGAGAACTCAAGGCCACTGGAGCAGGATGCTGGTATGTTCTGAAAAAGCTGTGGTATTTATTCAGAATGGGAGTGCAAATTGCTTTACTGAACAGACTCATATCTGAAATGTGCTTTGCAGAACACTCAGCAAATATTTTAGCCAAGCACTCTTTCCCCAGCCTTTTCCCCTTGAAAACTCTAAGCTGGGAATGGAAAGGACCTCAAGGTGGACACCACTCCTGGAACATGGAAGCACAGTCTCTGTTCCCAGCATCAATGATCTAACACGGTGCTACCTGAAACTGGAGCCCCTGGAATCAGTTGAGACCATCACCAAATCCTTATCATCCTCCTAACCCAGTCACGTCACCATCCTTCTGTGATTACTACCTAATATTATTGTAATGGTCTAGTTCAGACTGACTACACTTTATCAGTTTCTTGATGTAGAATTACTCTGGGATCACTGGCAGCAGCCACTATTTTGACAACTAGAATAACATGGAATAAGGTGGGTGTATCGGTAATTGCATTAATAGTGAATGTGCATCAAACAAACTGACCTTACCTCCAATAGGTGGAAGGCAGGGCACTGGGGAGTGATAGACAGTCCCATGGAAGACAGGATGATGCTGTTGGGAATGGCAGTGGAGACTGTGATGGAATTAAGCTGAAGGGGGCAGAGCGGGGAAGTTACTGGCATGGTGACATACTGGCATGCTCTAGAAAGCAGCAATGTGTTAACATCCTCAAACATATCTGGAAATCAGTCTCCTCTCTACAGAATTAGCAGGCAAGGGAAGGAAGGACCAAAACAAAGACAACCATGCCAGATGAAGCATTTTCCATGTCCAATGAAGAGAACACAGTTCAGGCACCTATGAAATCCTACAAGGCCTAATGTTCAGCTGGAATGAATGTAACTTTCAAGTTATGACTAAGAAGTGAGGGAGAACAATTTTGATATAAATATGGGAAAATAGTTCACCTTTCAAGACAACTTTTCAAAGGAAGGTTATCAATGAAATATACCCCGCCCCCCCACCCTTGGCTCCTGCAGAAAGCAGCCTCACTTTACCTTGTGGACTTTGCCTGGTGTGTTGGGGCCCAGCACTTGTCGCTTGCTGGGCATCCTGGGTACACTGCCATACAACATCTCTGTCTCTCTTTGCCGGGTCTTCTTGAGCTGTAATAGGGGTAGGGAGGTGGCACAGTGGATAGAGCACTGGCTCTGGAATCAGGAAGACCTGAGTTCAAATCCAGCCTCAGACACATAACACTCACTAGCTGTGTGACTCTGGGCAAGTCACTTAACTGCAATTGTCTCACCAAAAACAAAAACAAAAACAAAAACAAAAGTCATAAAAGCAAACAGTAATACACTATTACTTCACCTCAAAGGCAGGGGAAGGAAGGGAGATAGGCAGGCCACAAGTCCATTGAAATCCCATGTCTACACGTCACTTTTTTTTACTAGGTACCTCTGTGTGCATCCACAAAGATGGGAAGTAAAGACAGCCATCATGTTGCGGTCTGAGAGGTTGAGACACCTCAAAGACTGGATTACAGGACAAGGTTGTGTGGAATGGATTCATAGACTCAAGCATTCTTTGAGTCATTGGCAAAGATTTATCGTTAAGCTATATAGCGGGCAAGGATTCTTAAATACCTGTGACCTTAGAGGGGTGCAGTTAAAGTTTATATAGGATAAAATGTAATAAAACATGTGCCAAATATGCTAACTAAGCAACTCAGGGCAGGATTAGGGAGTGGTCAGTTCTTAAAGAAACATGCACTTTTTGTATCTACTGCGCAGGTGTTTTGCCCAGAGTTCACTAGGAAAAACCCACAAGGGGGGGGGGTCACAGAGAGGTGTGCTATATCACTATATAGGCCTGCTATATCACTAAGTTAACTAGTGTTCAGGGGTAACAGAGTTGTCCAGTCTGCCACCAGTCAATGTCTTGTTTGACAAGATAGATGTAGGGAGAATACATATGTCTTAGGTCTAGAATACAGACAATGAGGAGTCCAGGATGCAGATAATGAAGTAGAGCAGTAGTATAGATAGTCCAGTGGGTAAGAATATCTTTATGACCCAGTGCAAAGCCAATTCAAACTAATAATTCCTTCAGGTGCTGTTTGTAACTGCACCAGGTAGAGAGATAAGGGTCTTGCTGGGGCCTACTCATGAGTAATTGCTAGGCACAGTGTCCTTGGGCTGGGGAGAAACTGCCAGGGATAGTGTTTCTCAGGCTAGGGAGAAACATGGTCATGGAACTGGGGTTCCAGTACAAGCACCCAAGCACCCCATCATTCCCCCCTTAAACAGATGGGACCCAAAATCTTTTGGGGTAAGGGACAAAGGTCTCAGCTTCTGAAACTGCTTCCTGCTGGAATTGGATGTAGAGCTGTCTCAGCCTCCATTCAAGGGGTCGGTGCTTTAGCCAGTGTCTGGTACTTGTCCAATGCCAGGTCCAGGGGGTTATGGGTTGTGGTCTTGGACAGAGGTTGGTACTCAGCCTGAGCAGTTATCTGGAAGTGGAGGGCACTGAGCCTAGAGGAGACAAGTCTGACAAGAAGATTAATCAGACAAGGGCCAAAAAGAAGTAAAAGGAATATAATCAGGAGTGGAACAAGAATAGGGGGGTTAACATAGAAAGAAGCCAGGATCCCCATGAAGAGGATGATCTTGGTGTACTAAAGGTTTCATGGATGTCTCACATCGAGGTGGCTTTTTCTAGTATATTTTGGGTACAAAGCTCCATCTGTTGAGAATTGTTAACATACACACACAGCAGGAGTTGTTGGCCAGGGCACAGATACCTCTACTAAGCAAGTAGATAATCCGAAGCTATCCGATTATCTAGGACTACATTTGCCAAGGAATCCAGAGGTTGCTGAATGCCCTGGAGACTATAAGCTGTGTTATTTACCAGTTGGTGAATGGTCTGTCAGGTCTGAAAGAATGAACTCATGTTGTAAATATCCATACCAAGGCATGAGATACTCTGCTCCCTTTTTAAGGTACCAGAGAACATTATCCCAGAACCCACACTTTACTCTTGTTAGGGTGGAGGTGCTGGGTTTAGTAATATTGAAAATAGTCAGAGGTGGTGCCAAAAATCCAAGGGAACACACACCAAAATCCTTATAAGGTGTTAAACACTGGGTGGTCAGAACAACAGTCCTGGGGTCCTGCCAAGTAGTGGCATTTTGCTTTACTTCTTCCCCAGAATCCTCACCTGGCCCACCCATCCCACAAAGGAAGGAGTATCCCTTAGGGGTAGAGATGGGGCCTGTTTGTAAAAGGTACTGAGCATGGATGCCCCATGGATCAGTATGATTACATGCAATATTCCAGGTAAGAGAGAAACTTTCAAAAGATCAACAAGAGTGTTATAGCTAGAAAGGGGGGGGGGGCTGTAGCATTGTGTGTCAATTGAGAAGAGAAAGTTAAATAGGGAGTACTTACTAGGAGAGTGGCAGGAGGAAATCAGTCATAGGTGCAAGTAGGGAGTGTTCCCTCAGGACAGGTGATACAGCTGGCAGAGGTAAAGTTCTGGGGACACTCATCACTGTAGGCATCCTTACAGGTGGTACAAGCCAAGAGACCATCAGAGATATCTACAATCCCTACACGGGTAAGGGTCTTTACCTGTACAGTGGCCATAGAGCTTGTGTGCCAAGCAAGGGAATAATTCCCCACTGAGAAATAGAGTGTTGAGATAGAAAAATTTTCCCATAAAGGAGTGGCCAGTACAAAAGGGTTGGCAAAGACCTCTGAGGTGGTTACATTAGGGAGGGGGTTTCTTGCAAAAGCTGCCTTAAACAAAAGAGGTTTCTAACTTAAATCTCACAACTGAATAGATACACAATCTTGTTCCACAAACTTGTTTATCTTTCTCTAATTATACTTCAGAAATCGAATCTTTTACATGTGATAAAAATCAAACACTGATTTTGCTCTTACTTAGGCCGTGGGATGACTACAAATTCAGATTAAAACAGCAAAATCTCACATACTTACCTTGTGTTCATGTCTTTTACTGACCACTTGCTCTGATCATAGAAATCTATTATAAAAGGAAAAGGAAGGGACATGTGACATACCAAATATAACAGGATAGAACATCCTTAGCTCTGTTTGAATTCAGATAAGAGTCACAGTTCTTCAATCATGCAGTATCAATTCCACATCATAGCCAGACTTAGGAATAGTCAAGTGGGAAACATTCCTTCTCAAAGGAACATAATGGGGAAACTGAGCCAGGAGGATCCCATCCTACATTGAGGCTAAGATTGCCCTCACAGCTTTTTCCCAAATGCAGACCTCCACCTGTTGACAGTACAGGATCACATTCCCTCTGAGTAGCTTGTGGCATTTCTCTTAGATACTGATTTAATGCAGACAACTATACCTAAATTCAAACTCAAAACAAAATGAATTATAGTCCCAAGAGCCTTTTACCTCAAACAGCAAGTTTCACTAATCACAGCTTAAAGCCAAATACAGTTAATTTTACTCTCATGGAGTTGCAATAAGCAATAAAGATTTACCAGGACTCATATACATAAGAGATTTCACTTAACATCTTTCCTTCTCAAATTTAAACTTGTCCTGGTGTAAAAGTCAATCATTAGAAATAATTTCTATCTATTGTATACAAACTTGCAACTTTGCAGCAAGCCAAGTTCATTGTTTAGGAACTCCATAACCTAAACAAGTTCTTTTCTCAGGGCTGATGACCTTGCCCACACAGATGGTTTCCAGGGACCTTGGCAAGTTTACAAAATAAGAGGAACCGACATAGACCCAAGGGAGGAGCTGATCCTGGTGCCCCTGCCTGCCGACCCCCCAGTATCCCAAAAAGGACTGTTTTGAATGGGCAGAACCAATCTGGATAAGGCTTTTACCCAATAACCTCTTTTCGCACACAGTAATCAATTAACAATTCTGGGTTTTAGCATTAATACAGTAACTTCAAATAACTTAGTTAGCAATCTTATAACTTTCATAAGTGATAGCCAAACTGTTTTTAGCTATAACCTCTTCTTTAATTACCAGGTAAAAGTGGAAATACCTGGTTTTCTAAATGGCAGTTATAAAACCTTATAAGAGAGAGTTAGCAGGGCTGACAAAGTTATACAACTGGTTTTACACAATTTTTCCACCATCCTTTAGTTTCTTTCAGTTCACACTTTAATAACATCCAAATTATGAAAAGTTGCTTGACATAGCTGATACAAAAGTTTACCAATTTGAAACAATACTAGGTGTTTAAAACTTGAAGCAAACATATTACAAATCAGGTGACTCCAACTCTGTTGGATGCATTTCCAAATTTCCCTACATAGAAAACGGGGCATCTCTTCACCATTGGCATTATATACTGGTCACATCTAATTAAGGAACTAATAATTATAGTAGTTAACATTTATGGTGTCTGCCCTCTGCAAGGCATTGTGTTAGGCACCTTCCAATCATGTGAGACAAACTGAGGTAACTTGGTTAATGTCACCCAGTTAACAAATTTCAGATCCATACATTTTCTCAATTTGCCTTAGTGCCAAACAGGTGAGAATTTCAATGATATTTTTGTGGCTAACCAAATTCTCCCAAATCTGTAACTGCTCAATTGCAGACTTCCTAAATGGGAGGGAATTCCAGTAAAATGTGGATAAGCCTCTCCCTGGACTCTAGTTTAAATGCAAGTTTTCTATTCTGGCAACGCCTTCATGCAACCCTGTATCTTTGAGCTGCCTCTCACTGGGATGGCCTGACACTCATCTCTAACAAGGTTTCCTCCCTTGTTGTAGAGGTCAGGCTATTTACTATACACAAGGACCCACTATAGAGCACATACACTGACTTACACTGTGTTTGTAGGAACAACGTTCAAAGGAGGTGTTTGAGAAACCTAGTTCAATGGAACTGTTAGGATCTTCCTACTGTGGATAAGGTCATATGAGGTGGAATGCATTATAGCTATCATAGCCTTCCTAACCAGTGAAACCAAGGCCATACATACCCAGGAAAGAAATCTTTACTTCCTGGCACTGATATTTTAGACTACCACGTTGCCCTAGGTTATCTTCTAGCCAGTGAAGAAGGATTCTGTGCCACAACAAATACTTTATGTTGTTTTGGGGTGAATACCAGTGGAGAAGTGGCAGCATCCATGGAGAAGATTATGGAACAGCTCAACTGGTTCTCCACATTCAAGGAGAAAGAGCCAAGGGATTTGTTTTCCTGGTCAAGGTGAGGCTCTTAGGGAGAGTGAGACCTTCCTCTATCACTTTCCCCAATCCTCATCTTGTCTGCAGTAGAATACTATGAAGGTCCAACATGACCTGAGATGTACCCAATGGAAACATGTATCCTCATCTATTTTATGCCTTATTGGTTGAGGTAAATCTCCTCTGAAGGTAAAACTTATGCTGGGACAGAGGGAGCAGGGGGTATATTGAGTAGCCAGAGCTGCCTATGGCCTCACTTTTCCAGACATGGCTCCTATTAAGCCCCACTTGCAATCAGTTCTCATTTGAACTGGCCAATGAAACTCTTCCACAATGTGCTGATGTGGAAGAGTTAGCATTCCACCTTCCCTTTCCTGAATAGGCGCTCCCTGCACTACTGGTCCATGTTCTCTGAACTCACCACCTCACCAATCACATGATAACTGTCACGTCAGGCCCTTTATATGAAAATCCTACTGAAGCCTAGGCCCCTAGTGTCTCTGTGCTTTCCACCAGATCCCTCATCCCATTGGTCATTTGGGCTACCACATGGCATTCTGACCCCATGGCATGGTTGGGGATTGGAATTTGACATGACAGTCTATCCCTGACTAAATTACTATTCATCTGTCCTTACCTTCCTATGCATTTGGTTGTGAGTATCAATAAACCATTTTGTCCCATGCTAGGGTTGCTTTGTATCACTCACCTTAGTCAATTGCAACCTCCACAATATATCTTATATTTATCCCCTTCTCATTACTTCTTAACAGGAATATTACAATAAACCTCTCAATTTCTGAAAGATTAAGACAAGACTAGGAGAAAGGAGAGAAGCATAGACAAAGGGACCGACATTTCATGGTCAACACTTTGAGTATGCTGGCTCCTGTCCAACTCTTAATATGACACTTTGAAATTTTCAAAATACTCTTTTTATTGGATATTAGCCCATATGACACTTCAGTCTCAGTTAAGGAGGGCAAAACAGAGTACATTAAGTCCTGAATTTATGGAGTCAGTAATGGATTCCTTCAGTGTAAATCTATCCCTTCAGTCCAAATCATCACCATTAAAAATGCCTACCAAACCCTTAGTCAGAGAAAAGGTCATCTGATGCAGGAGAACACTGAATAGTACATGTCAACTAAGGAAAGTATTAATGTTACACACCCACAAGAACAAAACTTGGAGTAAATAAATCCAAAAAATGGCTCAACTTGGTCTTCCTTTCATACAATGTCTAGGAGGCAATCATAAGTTTTGCTAAGTAGTGAAATTCCGTATTTGAAGGGACACCACTCTAACTCCTTATAAGTTGAAGGGAAGAATCTGAGGAAGGGAAACATGGCTGGCTTCCATTTGGAAGTAGATGTACTAAAGGTAACTCCAAATGAACATGTTCAAAAGAGAACACGTGATTTCACTGAGACCCTCGTTGATCTTCTGAACTTCCTTTTTACTGTTAAGGATGTAACCATCCTTCCAGCCACCCAGGGTTGCAACCTTAAGGCCTACTCTGACAGGGGAATTTGGGCCTTCTAGTACCTGGAACAAAGCACCACTTCCCTTTCTGGCCACCAGCTCTTAAATAGGTCCCTATTCCTCTCTTTCAAGCTCCTGTTTAGGTGTTCTCTATCCCTGTCAGAATGTCATCTCAGCTTAGATTCTTACAATCTAGCCACTGCTCAGATTCTTATAGTCTAGTCAAAAGCTCACTAATTTTCAGACTCCTTAAGAGTGTGCCCAATATGACAGATATTCTCACAAGCCTTGTCTTTGGCTGAAAGAAAAAAAAAAAGAATGTCATCTCACTGAGGTCGTGATTTATGTTCTTATATTTTTATCCTCAATACTAATCTGCCTTTATCTGTCTATCTGCCTGTCTAGTCTATGATCCTCCCCCTCCCTCTGCCTACAGAGTCAATTAATTGTCAAATTCTGTCATTATTATCTCCACAATATTGCTTGTATTCATCCCATTCTCTCTATTTACGTCATCACTCATCACCTGGACTACTGAAATAATGTACTATTCAGATTACCTGTGTTAAGTTTTCATCCTCTTCAGTCTATCATTGATTGATAAATCTTATAAGGAAAGATCTTCCATGTCCCCTATATGATTCTAAACATTGGGCTATAAGCCACAGTGTGGATATCTATGTTGACCTGAGAATTTAACCACTTCTCAGAAAAATGATGTGCTCTGGGAACCTGGCCAGTTCATTGGAACATATCAAGTTAATTAATATTCTAAGATGTTTTGCTCACTCCAGGAACTTTGCCAGTTCCTTGACCGAGACAAAACATCCACTAGAATCATGGACATTTTTGGCATGGGGACTTTTTTGTTAGAGGCCCTATTTGAATCCTACTTGGGAAAGCCACATTTGGATTCTTGCCCTGTCTGGGACTTTCCCAATTGGGACCCTGAAAGCTGCACCCTGGGAATCTCCAGCTTGGATTTCAGGCGTTGGTGCCTCCCCGAATTGGTGATGTTTTCTTATATTATTGCTATCCTTTGTATTCTTAGCCTGACTGTAGTTGTATTGTTAATTGTATGTTGCTATAAATCTAGCTTTTCTCTACCTGTATTATAATCTTAATTAAAGATACCTTCACTTCTCTCTCTAGGACTGTGTCTTACTGTAGGAGTGAATCCAAAGCATATTTTTCTTCCCTAATCACAAAAATTGCTGTCACAAACAGGATTTGCTGTACAATATGCCATTCCTAAAGAGAAATACTAGGACTAGGGTTAAAGGTCAGGACATTCCCAGTGGGAAGATTTACCTTATGTCTCCCTGGCTAAAGAATCGGCTAA